GGGGAACAATGGATCGAGGCGCGGTGGATGTCCACTGGCGGCCGACTTATATTTATCGGCAAACGTAAGCGGCCCCCGTATTGTTCGCGGATACGTTCGAAAAGAAGGGGGGAGGAAGGGGAGGTTAGGTGGTCGGAGCACGAAAGGTGCGTTTCTCAGACGCTACTCGTTTATGGCGGCTAATTACCGTAATTGGCCCGGCCGTTATAACGACGACGTTTAAGGATACTCGCGCCGTTAGCATACAAAAGTACAATAATTCGAAGGGGGGGGGGGGCGCACCGAGCGATTTCTCTTAAGGCAAGTCGCAGCTTCCATAATGGCGCGCACGCCAGCCGCGTTTGCTCCGAGAGAGTGGCGCTCCTACTCTTTTTGCCATCCTTCCAGAGAAAGAAAGAGCAAGAGAGAAAGAGAGAGAGAGAGAGCTATGCTGTTTCAACGAACAGACAACGAGCGAGCACGAAGGGGGCACCGTGTGTAAATTGGAACGTACGGATTATAGCTGCCGATCCGCAGGAATTTTAATTTCCTCGCCACCCTGAAACTCTTCTCTTGATTTTCGGAGTTTTTTCCTTTTTTTAATTTTTTTTTTTTTTTTTTTTCTTTCTTTCGGTATCAGGAGTGGATGATTGAACTTTCGGGCAACCTAGGGATAACAAGCAGAGCCGGGGAATTTATTATATACGCGTACGTGTTATACTTTTTGCTTCTTTCACGCAAACAGGATGAATAGGAATTTTAGAACAATAGAAACTAACGTACTGTTACTTGAAGACGAGCCTCTCGCGCGCAAGTCAAAAAGTTTACGAATTTTATGATTTATAACAGCAGCGGTTGAGATAATTGTCAACTTTCTAAGCTTCGTAAAGTGCATAAATGTGTAAATAATTTTGGTCGTTGTTGGCCCGCTTGCGCTGGCAACTGATTGCGGACCATAACGAGCGACCGAACCTTTATACAACGATTCGTCGCTTTCTTTTTCTATCTCGTCGATATGATATCGCTGGATAGAAACTATTGAGATGTAACAAATTTATTATTTTTTAAATCATTGAGAAGCAAAAAATTTATTATTTTCTAAATTATTGAGAAGAAACAAATTTATTATTTATTTTGCCTGGTTTACATCTATAAATATACTTAGAACCGAGGAAATATTGCATTTTTGGGGACAAACAAATTCTCGACGCGCGTGGCTCGCGAAAGTCAAAAAGTTTACGAATTTTATGATTTATAACAGCAGCGGTCGAGATAATTATATAATTGTCAACTTTCTAAGCTTCGTAAACTGCATAAATGTGTAAATAATTTTGGTCGTTGTTGGCCCGCTTGCGCTGGCAACTGATTGCGGACCATAACGAGCGACCGAACCTTTATACAACGATTTGTCGCTTTCTTTTTCCTTGCTATGATATCGCTGGATAGAAATTATTGAGATGTAACAAATTTATTATTTTTTTAAATCATTGAGAATCAACAAATTTATTATTTGTTTTACATCTAAATATACTTAGAACCGTGGGAATATTGCAATTTTGGGGACGAAAAAAAATTCTCGACGTGCGTGGCATGTCATGCCAGCGCAAGAGGTTAAATATACATGAAATAATTAATCCCATCAATTCGGCGTGATTCGCCGCGATATTCGAAATGGCCAATCAGTTGTAACACAATCAGTCTTCGCGGCGGTCTGAAACGATCCTCCGCGGATGCAAAGAGGCGAGGATCGTTGAACAAGGTGGTCCGGAATGTTGCAACGGGATCAATGTCAAAGCAATTGAACCCGTTCTTCGGATTTTATTAATCGTGTTATGTCTGCCGCGCGAATCACCAGCACCGATCGACGCGCAATTCAGTCAGCCGATCTTATCGTCGCCAGATTTTTCCATTCTCGACGGCAACTCTCGCAGCAGAGACTTACTGTCTTATCGAGCATCATCTTCCACAACTACGACATCGGCAAGAATATTCCCTTTTCCGGCGCGTGACACTTCATTCCGACACTCAAATTGAGTCGATTTATAATCTCCTTTTTAGAGCAAGTTTTAATTTCGCGAAATTAAAATGCAGAACAAACAACGTTACGTTTTCAGAGAATTCGAATGATAGTTTATATGTTCTCCGCGTCGTTCATTTTTTTCTCATTCGTTGAATTGAATTCTGATACAATATTTATACTTTAGTCATTTAGTTCTGGTACAATATTTATACTTTAGTCATTCAGTTGAATTCTGATACAATATTTATACTTTAGTCATTCAATTCGGATGCAATATTTATACTTTAGTCATTTAGTTCTGGTTTCCTTTGTTTACTTATGGTCGATAATCTATAGTTAAATCAGTGAAAATATTCGAACGTTTGTAGAAACATTCACGAACAGATGTGTATTGCAACGTAATTGACAACGGGACACAATTGTCATGATATTATATCGATCGAGATTTAAAAATTGGTATGTAGAAAATTTTTTATTCTTTGAAATATATTTCTTTACGTTTCTTTGCGCGTTGTTATTTAAATTAAATCCAGGGAACTCGCTGTTTTCACAAATTCTTCTAACGTACAGTTAAAATTAAAATTAAATGTTAATTACTCCGTTGTTCCTTTACTTTTTAGAAATTACGTTATAATCGTTCTCTCTCTCTCTTTTTCGCGTCGCAAGGAAGAAAAAAAAACAACTCAAACGGGGGATAAATAATTTTCGTAAATCGAGCGAACTTCCAAGAAACGCGTCCCGCGCGTACACTCGAACCCGGAGGGGGGTTCAACGTCCAGATCGCCAAGAAGCCGTCTCGTTCTCGCCTTTCGCACGAAATCGAAGGATCATCGTTCACCGGCCACTCCCACAGTTTAACGCCGGTCGACGTTTCAATAAAATTCTCACCTGTGCGCGTTGGAAACCTCAATTAGGCCCCTCGAGCACTTGGGACCCTTCTGGCCCCCCCTTCTTGGACTCTTTGGCGGAGAACGTGGCGAAAGAACGTCGAAAGTCCGAGTGAAACGATTTCAATTGCGCGTGGCCTCAGCTGGTATTTTCACGAAGCCGCGACATTCCAGCGTCTCGTGGAAAAAGAGAGAAAGAGAGACAAAGAGACACAGAGAGAGTGAGTGAGGAAAAGAAACGGTGAAAACACGCCGAAATGCCTGGCCAGGCGTTTTCTGACGCGCAGCAGAACGACAGAAGGCGCCGTTTCTTCCCGCGTGATGATAATTCCACCGCGTGCACCGAGTTCCTCCCTAACTGCTCCACGCCGCGTGCTGATGCCCAACGCTCGCGACAAGATCCGCTTTTTATTCGCCGGGAACGCGCCTGCGGCCGCTCTGACAGCCGCTCGCGATTGACTCGTGCACGTTTCTATTCCGGCCTTTCGGAATTCCGATGGAAGTCGCGCGGTTAACACCGGCCCCGACACGCCGCGATCGTGCGACTTGCCGCCGTTTGCCGGAGAGAGTGCACGGGTGTTTTAGGCGAGTGGCGATGTGGCAGAATGGAATTTACTGGATGAATGGAATTACGGTTCGCCGAGTTTCTTTTTTTTCTAGAATTTTCTAGAATTTTTTTTCTTTTCTCTTCTTTGGAATGAAATTTCTGACGAAACGAACACGTGGACACGCGACTTTTAACCACTTTTGCGCTGATTGCGGACCGTAACGAGTGACCGAACCGTACATCGCTGGATAGAAATGATTTGCAGAAGCAATAAATTTATTATTTGTTTTGGCCTGGGTTACATTTTTGCAGTATATACTTAAAACTGAGAAAATATTGCAAAAAAAAAAAAAAAGAAACGTCATTCCAGCGGAGGAGGTTAAGTTAGGTGACATTGTGGAAGGCGAGAAAGGGATTTTCTGCAAAAGTTGACGAGTTGACGAGCGGATAGAATTTTGCAAATAAATAAAAATACAATTGATTTGATTTTTTTGAATAAAAAAAATTTCTATTTTGAATAGAAAAGAATTTTGATCAAATGATACATAAAGTTGGACAATTATGGAGGGTGAGGAAAAGATTTTTTATGGAAGGTAAAATCATAGACACAATCTTAAAGATGAATAAAATTACAGTTGATCTACTTTCTTTTTGCAACGAAACACCGGATAGAATGAAATGTTGATAAAGTGAAATACGCAACTTCCCAAGTTGGACATTATATGGAGGGCAAGAAAGGGAAGAGTTAACGTTTGGATGTGTGTGTGTCGGAGCCATTTAAACTTGGCCAAGTGTGTTTCTGCTTTCCGTACATTCGATATAAATCTATAGGAAATTCCACCTTTGGTATGTTGATTTAAGACTGGTTTAGGAAAGTTGCATGGATAGGATGAGGAAGGAGAGCAATGTACACTTGCAATTTTTTAATGAGAATAGTTGTTCGAGAATAGTAAATTGCAATGAAGTTTGAAAAGGTTGGAGAGACGAGTGAGAAGGTTGAAATATATACATTTGTGTCATTTATGTTATTAATAATATTGATTTAGTATTAATAGCATCAAGGTATTATTTATGCATACTTGACATAACATTTTGTGCAATATTATTGATACAATGTTAATAACATAATACTTGATACAATACAATATTATCGTAACACTCGAAACAGTTGATGAAGAGATGAATAGAATTAGAATATACAAGTACATTCGTATTATTAATATTACTCAACTATTATTTGATATAACATCATTAATTAATTAATTAATGATACAACTGATACAACGTAATTGACGTAATACTATTATTGACGTAGTGCTTGATATTATCAATACTATCAATGTGATACTTGAATGTAATTGATATAATAGTTAACATTATTAATTTGATGTGATATTATTGATGCAACATTCACGGACGTAGTACTTGATGCAATACTATCGATATTCATACCTAATGTTAATGTGAAGTAACGGGGCCATTTAATAAACTCGACAATTGTATCACACTTCAGTCGATATGATCGCAATTGTCTAATCGACATGTGTCTGTTGATCGATGGTTCCAGGCAGATGTTCCCTCAGATGAAGTTCCGTGTTTCCGGATTGGACGCAAAGGCCAAGTACATCCTTCTGCTGGACATCGTCGCGGCGGACGACTACAGATACAAGTTCCACAACAGGTAAGGAACCTAAGCGAAGCGTGCAAAAGCTGTAATCGTCGTGATTAGAACGTTCCGACGAATAATCGAATAAGCTCCACGAACTGTGCCAGGCTGTTGCGTTCGGAGCTGTTTCGTGACGACCGCGAACGCGAGAATCAACGCAATTATTCAATTACTCGTACGTTGCCATATCCGTGCCATATTTGCCTCTCGAACTTTTTTTTCTCTTTTTTTTTTCTCTCTTCGTAGCCTGTTCTAAAAATTCTCTCGTTAAGCATGTAATCGAGACGTTTCTTTTTTTCTTTTTTTATGAAAGAAAATGGTATGTCAAAAATGGTAGCTTAAAGAAATTTTCCCTCGGTATCGTGGCTCTCTTTTATGCTCGGTACAGTATGTTCATTTCTACGTTCTAAGAATCTGGCAATTTGAACGTATGTTAGTTAAATTTAAAGAAAGTAGAGATCTTGGGAATTTTGAAATTGAACGCACTTTTAATTTTGTCAGCCATTTTTCTAGTCCCGAATTTCTTTCAAAGAAACGAATAATTTTTGTCAGAGATTTTGTAAACATTTACAATTATCAAAATGACCAATTTATAAGTAAATTACCTTATAAATAATAAAAATGTAATAAATCAATTAATCTATAAATAATTTACAATTGTCAAAATTTATAATTTCCGTCGGAAATTTCGTAGACGTGGGTAAATATTTAAAAATTCAAACGATCATTCGAGAAATGCGCAAAATAAAAGCTTGCATTTAATTTAATTGTGTCATACGACCCTTCTGTTCCTTTATTTCAATGTTGTTCTGATGGAAATTTTACGCTTTGGTCGTCGGTTCATCAAGTTCCAGCACGGTAGTAACAGCAATAACAAACTCGTCCATCCAAGATCGTCCGTAAAGTGTTAGGAAATTTCAAAGAGAAGAAACGTAGAAACCTCGATTGTGCACGCGTGCAAACAGCAACCGAAGCGGCATGCAAAGCGAGCGGACAAAGAGGAGAGCCGAGTTTCTTTTTTTTTTTTTTCTCCAAGCAAACTCTGCCTATTTCCCGAGAAGTGAAACGTCTAACTTGAGAACAATTCCAGCCGAATGACTGATCCGTGGAGTCTGCAGCCTTCCCGCCGGTCATTAGCTCGCTATTAACTTTTTCCTTGGAAAGCCAAAACGCGCAGACACACGCGTTTCTCACGAGGCGTTCGTACGATCGTCTTCTGTCTGGCTATGTTTTTTCACCTCTTCTCCCGCGCGCGTCGCGAGGGTGCTAAACGGAACATAATCGAGCGACTCGGGAAAGCAGCCGGAAAATTCGCCGACCGACTTGGCGAAACAAACCTCCGATCGTGATCCCTCGCTCGTTCCCACGAAAACTTACGAAACGGTATCTAGCTGCGTTCGCTTCATTGTATTCCCTTTTTGTCCGCGCCGAGTCGTTTACGCGCTCTTGTTTTTCCCGCGTTTGGAGCCACGGCGTTCGTACTCTTCTTCTTTTTCTTCTTCTTCTTCTGCGTTTAGAGTTTCTTTCGAGATCTTGGCGCGAGATTTGAAACTTGCGGTACTTGGGAGAGATCGTGCGTTTTCTTTTTTTTTTTCGGAAGGAGGAGGAAAACGTGGAATAATGCGATTGCAAAAAAGGGGAGTTCAAGTGATAATTGAGCTACTAGCAGAGTTTGTCGAGACATTGGTTATTTTAGACGATAACTGTACTATGTTGTATTTTTGAGGGTGTAATTGAAAGGATGGAATTTTCTTGTATTTTCTAGTTCGAAATCTCCCACGAGTACATAAAAATCCGTATCTTGTAACATGTTTCAATACACACTCCATTTCGGATATTTCCATCTCTCAACAATCCTTTGTTTTGTTATACTATTATATTTCATTTATTATTTTTATAGATTATTTTGTTACATTCTATTTTCCATACCCGTGCAAAATACTATCGTTCGTTCCTAACAAGAAATTACACAATTGCGCAAGATATTATGTAACTTGACCTAAAAAAAAAGAGTTTCCGCCGTCGAGTTTCTCGAAAACGCGGGCAGTTCAGTTTTTATTTTGATATCGAGGCTCTTTTCGACGAGGTATAAAATCAATTCGCGAGGAACGAGAACGTGAGCGTGAGGTTCGCGAGAAGAGAAGTGGACAGAGTCGGCCAATCGAAAGCCAGACCACAATGAACGATTACATCACGCTGGCGACCGCAGCCACTTTGGAACTCGTCGAACGAGTTCTTCTTCGTTCGCTCGTTTTGACCCACCTGCGACCGATCCCAACGACCGGACACGCCTCCCTTAAAAGACAACAATCAGACCGAGAAACTCGCGCTATCGACACCTCTTTCCCTTCGTCACGCAATTTCACCGGTCTCGAGTCATCGTCAGCGATCCGTCACGTCATCGTCGCCTCGTTCGTTCCTTGAATGCTTTCCAATTCATCCCTTGGCGAGAATCGCAATCCTAACTTTCACGTGTCAATCGAACAAAGTCGATTAACTGTTGATCATCAAACTTTGTGTCTCTTAATTATTGAAAGCGTAGCTGTGAAAGAAAGTTCGAAAAAAATTTTTAACATTTTCATCTAGATTCTGTGATTTTCTGAAATTCAACGAAATCGAAATTTATTTCTCTTGTTATACTGTTTACTGGCGGAGTATTAAAAGAGATTTTACAGTTGAAAACATATTAACACATTTAACTTTTATCACGTTCATCGAGTAGCAAAAAGAAATTCTTTAATTACCTTGGTAAATTTTTAACAATTTTGTTTATCGAATGGCGACAACAAAATTTTTAAATCGATATACGATTTTTAATGATTCCTGTTTCCGTTCGTTGAACAGGACGAGAAATTTCGTAATTAATAAATTTTCTAACTCGTGTTACGAATTTTTAATGATTGGATGGAATTTTACAATTAATAAATTTTATGAATACACGTCACGAATTTCCAGTAACTGGATGAAATTTTACAATTTTACAAATTTCATAAATACGTATCATGGGTTTCTAATGATTCGATGTAATTTTATAATGCCACGAATTTCTAATGATTGGATAAAATTTTACAGTTAATAAATTTTATGAATAGACGTCACGAAGTTTCTAATGATTCGATGAAATTTTATAATGCCACAAATTTCTAATAATTGGATAAAATTTTACAGTTAATAAATTTTATGAATACACGTCACGAAGTTTCTAATGATTCGATGAAATTTTATAATGCCACAAATTTCTAATAATTGGATAAAATTTTACAATTAATAAATTTTATGAATACACGTTTCACGAGTTTCCAACGATCCGACGAAATTTGACAATTAATAAATTGTATGATACACGTGACGAGCGTCTAATGATTTCGTTGGTGTTTGCCGAGTGTAGCAGGTGGATGGTGGCGGGGAAGGCCGACCCGGAAATGCCGAAGAGGATGTACATCCATCCGGACTCGCCGAGCAGCGGTGAGCAATGGATGCAGAAGGTCGTGAGCTTCCACAAGCTCAAACTCACTAACAACATCAGCGACAAGCACGGCTTTGTAAGTACTGTACGTAACGCCAACCAAACAATTACTTACTTACTAGCCTCTAAGTTGGAGCTCCGAGTCTCGCAATTAATCGCTAACGTTTGCCCGGCTAACGACCTAACGATCGGCCGATTAAAAGCTCGTTAGGCCGCGTGCACGCGGCACTCTTCTCCGTCCTCGACGATGACCACTTAATGCTTTGTGCCTCTCGTTTCGCCAATATTTCTATCTTCCGTGATTTAGTCGCGAGCTTATCGACGCGCCAGATTAGACTCGACTTGCACATTGATTTTTATTTTGACAAGTACGCTTCTCGCGAAATTTCCTGCTCTTTGTGTAAAGATGTAAAATTTATTTATTTCGTTGATTATTCGAATATTCGTAACTGTTGCGTACTTTCTTTTTTCTTTTTTTTTTTTTGTGTCTGTGTGTGTGTGTGTATGTTTTATGTTAAGGTATGAATTTCAGGGAAGAGGAAATGAATTTGGATTTTATCTCCTTTCGGGTAAATTAAAGAGAAAAATGTTTCTTTGATTATGAGAAAGTAATAGGTAAAGATATTAAAAGTCTGAAATTTAGTTGAATTCCTAAGAAACAGAAAGAACCTAATAATCTGAAGAAAATCACCTTCTAATTATTATTACGTCGAAGAAAATATAAAATCGAAGAATCGGACGATTACTATATAGTCACAATAACTCTTACATTTACTATGCCTGGAAATTTTTCAAAATCCTCGATAATTATTATCAAAATGTAAAAAAATTTAATCTCTAAGAATTGTCAACAAATAACATCAATTAATCTAATTCTTGGTAATTACTATAGATGTATACTCTTCACTTGCATCCATGGAAACAAGAACTTTTCACTTCACTCTTACCATTCTCTACATTTAAAATTCAAAAATCAGTCGAGTTAATCTAACCTCAATAATTATTACAAATAATACCAATTACTCTACTATTAGTGATTACTATAGATATGTAGTATGAAGTCAATCTCTCCACTTGCATCCCCTTTCAAAAAAAAAAAAAAAAAAAAAAGAACCAACAATTCACTGGCATCGTTGGCTCTACATCTAAAAATCCAAAAATCACTCAGTTAATCTAACTTCGATCATTATTACAAATAATACCGATTAATGTGCTGCTGATAATTACTATGAAAGTCAATCTCTCGACTTACAACCCTGCCAAAAAGAATCTACCACTTCACTGGCCNCTCTGGATCAGAAAATCCAAAAATCGCTCGATTTAACCTAACCTGAATAATTATTACATACAACACCGATTAATCTGCTGCTGGTAATTACTATGAAAGTGAATCTTTCGACTTACAACCCTGCCAAAAAGAATCTACCACTTCACTGGCACTCTGGATCAGAAAATCCAAAAATCGCTCGATTTAACCTAACCTGAATAATTATTACATACAACACCGATTAATCTGCTGCTGGTAATTACTATGAAAGTCAATCTCTCGACTTACAATCCTGCCAAAAAGAATCTATCACTTCACTGGCCCTCTGGATCAGAAAATCCAAAAATCGCTCGATTTAACCTAACCTGAATAATTATTACATACAACACCGATTAATCTGCTGCTGGCAATTACTATGAAAGTCAATCTCTCGACTTACAACCCTGCCAAAAAGAATCTACCACTTTACTGGCCCTCTGGATCAGAAAATCCAAAAATCGCTCGATTTAACCTAACCTGAATAATTATTACATACAACACCGATTAATCTGCTGCTGGCAATTACTATGAAAGTCAATCTCTCGACTTACAACCCTGCCAAAAAGAATCTACCACTTTACTGGCCCTCTGGATCAGAAAATCCAAAAACCGCTCGAATTAACCAATCCCATGGGATTTCTCTGGCCAAAGTCCCCAGGGGGATTAAGTTATCGCGATGGATTTCGGCGTCAAGTAGTTGCAGCAGCCTCGGTGATGCCCCCGATGATGGTGGCCCGGTTCTCTCCTCTCTATTAGCCTCTCCCCTTGCACCCTCTTTTCCTCTCGCCGGTTACATATACATACAGTGGTCTCTCGATAGTGGTTTTCTCTGCGAGAGGAAGAAGAAAACGAAGAAGAAAAAGACGAAGACGAAGACGAAGAAGAAGAACAGGAGGAGAAAAGAGGATCCGAGGGTCTGCGGAAGCCAGCGTCGAAGCAAAGAAGCCTGGTTCTTTCAGGCGGCCACAGAGCACCGTTTCCTCTCTCTCTCCCCCCTCGCCCCCTCTTTTGCCCGGTGGACGTTGCGCACCGTTCTCCTTTTTTGCGAATCCTTTTTGCGGCAGTGGCGTGTCGGCGTCCTTTGAAGGATCCTGCATCGCTGGCTCGTGAAATCTAGTCCTCCGGGCCGGGGCCCAGAGCGATGTCAATGGCTGGCACAGCCCGACCTTTGTTACGGCCAGCACAGCCTTTCTCTTCCTCCTCGCGTCCTCCAGCTTCTCATCCCTTCGGCCCAGCTCTCTCGTCGTCCTTCTCTCCTCTCTTCTCTTCTCGCGATCGTTCTGATTCTCTTCTTATTGCTGCGTGCCAATACGCCACCGGATTTTTTTTTTTTTTCTCGTTCCCTCTCGCCTGGGACTTTTCCGATTTATCGGGGAGAGAAATTTTTAAAAGCAAAAGTTCTCGCGTTTTCGAATTTTTTTGTTCCAAAATGTTCTCAGTTTCAAGTATATTTCAGTGTAACTCGGGCAAAGCAAATAACAAATTTACTGCTTCTCTGATCGATTTCTGTCCAGCGGTAATATCATACCGGCGAGTTCGGAAAGAAAGCGGGCGAACTGTTGTATACGGGTTTGGTCACTCGTTATGGTCCGCAATCAGCTGCCAGCGCCCAGCGGTTAAATGCGTTCTCTGTTTCTTCTCTCACTTGTTGCAATTGCTGGCAATTGACCTTGCTAGGTTAATCTTTCTCTCAGTATTGGCAATAACTTTCTAAGTATATTGGTAATGCTTAAGTGTTATCTAGTAATATCTAAGTATTTCTCTCAGAGTTATCAATCAGCTTCGTTGCCAACGAGAAGCAGTCGTCGAAGACAAAGTGGGATCGTCAGCAAATCGAAATAAATAAATAACAAGTTTGATATGTTCATCGTGATATCTCTTCCGAGTCTCTTCTTTCGCCCACCGTGGAACACCGCCTGTTTCTCTCTTTTCTTTTCGTTCCCTTTTTTTTTTTTGTATTTTCCATTTTGTTCGAAGTGGGCCCTAAACGGGGTCTCGGGGGTAACCACCGTGTTAACCACGGTTCACTTGTGCCTCATCCACAGCTCTGTGAGCCTGTGCACGAGCCCAGAAAACGTGTAAGAGGGTCGCCGGAGCCGGTCAACCCTTTTCCGAATTCGGAGAACATTCGAGTAGCAGGAGCACGGTGTTGAAGTATCGCTTTGGTTCGCGAGATGTGGGGCGGAAGAAGGCTTTGAAGAGAGGCGGCCGTCAGCTGCTGGATCTCTATCTTGGCTAATTCACAGACGCGTTGCTAGCTGAAACGTCTTTTTCTTATATTTATGGCTTTCCACCCCCTTTGTCGAGGGCATATTAGGTCGGCACATTAGGCGTACGATGCGCCCTCTCTCTCGTTTCGAAGAATAAAACTTTAATCGTTCCCGATCCTACGTATTTCCCACTTTCCCTCCTTCTTCTCGTGAAAGAACAATTTTCCGACTGACGAATATATATGAATTGTATTAAATTGTATTGAACGTTCTTTAATGTCACACGATCGCAATTTCATTGTTTGTTGTTGCGAACGTTAACAATTAAACCGTGAATATTTATTTAACTCATCGCGGACCCATGACAGCTGGTTCGCGGACCATAACGAGTGACCGAACTGTGTATACAACGAGAAATTGTCGCTTTCTTTTGAAACCTGTCGATATGTCACTGGATAGAAATGATTAAGAAGCAATAAACTTATCATTTGTTTTGGGTTATACTTAAATATACTGAGAAAAACTTTTATCCACTATATAAAAACTGAGAAAATGTTGCAATTTGGGGCAAAAAACACGTCGTTCCAGCGCAAGAGGTTAATTTAAGAAAGTCGTTGCATCTCGCTGTTGTGGCCAAAGCACGCGCAAAGTTTCGAAGTTTGGAAATATTTCGTTTCCAAGTCACCGTAGTTGAAGAAGATCCCTCGCAACGATCCTTCACCGCCACGAGACGAACCGCTTGGACAAAAAGGGGCGAATCGTCGGAGAAAGCGAGTCGAGGAAAAACAATCGCAGGTGCCACGACTCGACACTGCTGACGTTCCCCTAATTTCCCCGGGCAGAAAGCAGGGAAAATTAGCGCGGACAGCGTTCGGGACGAGGGATGCGGACAGATCGGTAATCTCCTCGGCTCGAGCCAAGCCGAGTCGAGTCGGCCTCTTTCCCTTTGTCGGGGAAAATCCCGTCGCGGCAAACAAAAATCAGAGACACTCGACTCGGCGCTCGAGTCCTTCGAGAGATGGCTTCTCCTCGAGTGCTCGCCTTCAGATCCCTGGGCACACGAGCAAACACAGCTCCAGCTAAAGGACCACGGGGTCAGCAAACACCGGGAAATACGGCCGGCTCCTGTTGCTCCCGTTTCTCTCTCTCTCTTTCTTCTTCTTCTTTTCTTCTTTTTGGACGAGAAGCTTTGGTGAATTTGGTTTTTTCAAAACGCGTGGGAATGTTTCGGGAATGCTCGTCCTCGAGCGTGTTTTCTGGGTTAATGGATTGAATATTTGGTCAATTCCTCGTGGAAGTTTGCCCTGCTTCCCGACGAGGTTCCTTTGTTACCCTGGGATATATTTTTCGATGGTTATTTGGCGGATTTCGAGTGTTTCCTTTTTGTTCTTTGGGGCACGAGTGCCCGGCAAGTGCTTGAACGTACATTTAATGATTACGGATGGAACTCCATCCGATTGATCAGGTTTTAAATTAGTCGGAAAATTCTCTTTTGATTCAACAATCAAATTTCAAAGAATTTGCTTCAATTCAATTGCTACTGTAACCAGAATTAAAACAGTCATCGGGATAACGATTACTTTTTTTTTTAAAACCAGAGCACAGTTTTCGATCGCGCGAAACGATCGCAAGTTTCAAGGAAAACATCTTCTCCACTATCGACAAAAAAAAAAGTTATTTCGTAGCTTAATTCTC